AGGAACAATAAACTCCAACAGAATTCTAACAGAGGAGCAAACAATTGTAACAGAGGAACAATCAATTCCAATAAAATTCTAACAGAGGAACAATTTAACAGAGGAACAATCAATTCCAACAGAATTCTAACAGAGGAGCAAACAATTGTAACAGAGGAACAATCAATTCCAATAAAATTCTAACAGAGGAACAATCAATTCCAACAGAATTCTAACAGAGGAGCAAACAATTCTAACAGGAACAATTCTAACAGAGGAACAATTCTAACAGAGGAACAATTCTAACAGAGGAACAATTCTAACAGAGGAACAATTCTAACAGAGGAACAATTTACAGAGAGGAACAAATTCTAAACAGAGGAACAATTCTAACAGAGGAACAATTCTAACAGAGGAACAATTCTAACAGAGGAACGTAGATAATGTTTACAGACTGAGGAAGCATCAGGAAGAGTGGTAAGATAATTTGACTCTTAACTCGCTCTTTGGGGACACTAACGCGAAGTGTCGAAATACTGCAATGTGTCCCGACACTACTGCAATGTGTCCGACACTACTGCAATGTGTCCGACACTACTGCAATGTGTCCGACACTACTGCAATGTGTCCGACACTACTGCAATGTGTCCGACACTACTGCAATGTGTCCGACACTACTGCAATGTGTCCGACACTACTGCAATGTGTCCGACACTACTGCAATGTGTCCGACACTACTGCAATGTGTCCGACACTACTGCAATGTGTACCGACACTACTGCAATGTGTCCGACACTACTGCAATGTGTCCGACACTACGCAATGTGTCCGACACTACTGCAATGTGTCCGACACTACTGCAATGTGTCCGACACTACTGCAATGTGTCCCGACACTACTGCAATGTGTCCGACACTACTGCGATGTGTCCGACACTACTGCAATGTGTTCCGACACTACTGCAATGTGTCCGACACTACTGCAATGTGTCCGACACTACTGCAATGTGTCCGACACTACTGCAATGTGTCCGACACTACTGCAATGTGTCCGACACTACTGCAATGTGTCCGACACTACTGGAATGTGTCCGACACTACTGGAATGTGTCCGACACTACTGGAATGTGTCCGACACTACTGGAATGTGTCCGACACTACTGCAATGTCCCGGACACCACTGGAATGTAAATAGAAAAGAACGAACAGGGATTCGAACCGCAGACGGCGCATGCGGCGTCATGCCTACCTTTCGAGACAGAGCGTCTGCGGATAAAAAATATCTCGCGCGCGTAATTCTACGGGATTCGTCAGCCGACATTCAAATACGCCGCCACAGTACGCACCTCTATGAACTTTGCGTCCCGTGTCAGCAGCCGCATGTGTCCTGCTGGATGATGTACGGCAGCGTCAGCAGACGCATGTGTCCTGCTGGATGATGCACGGCAGCGTCAGTAGACGCATGTGTCCTTCTGGATGCACGGCAGCATCAGCAGACGCATGTGTCCTGCTGGATGATGCACGGCAGCATCAGCAGACGCATGTGTCCTTCTGGATGCACGGCAGCATCAGCAGACGCATGTGTTCTGCTGGATGCACGGCAGCATCAGCAGACGCATGTGTCCTGCTGGATGCACGGCAGCATCAGCAGACGCATGTGTCCTGCTGGATGCACGGCAGCATCAGCAGATGCATGCGTCCTGCTGGATGACGCACGGCAGCGTCAGCAGATGCATGCGTCCTGCTGGATGACGCACGACAGCGTCAGCAGGCGCATGTGTCCTGCTGGCCGACGCGCACAAGACACGACTTCTCAAAAAAAATTGCGTAAAATGACACACAAACACAAGAAACATTTATCACGTCTACGTAATTCTTGCTTCAAAACACTCATACGGACATATAATCATAGTCAATCATACACTCATACAATCATATATAGCCATACGCTCGTACAATCATACACTCACGCAACCATACCCTCACAATCATACACTCACACAATCATACCCTCACAATCATACACTCACACAATCATACCCTCACAATCATACACTCACACAATCATACCCTCACAATCATACACTCACACAATCATACCCTCACAATCATACACTCACACAATCATACCCTCACAATCATACACTCACACAATCATACCTCACAATCATACACTCACAATCTTACACTCACACAATCATACACTCACACAATCATACACTCACACAATCATACCCTCACAATCATACACTCACACAATCATACCCTCACAATCATACACTCACACAATCATACCCTCACAATCATACACTCACACAATCATACCTCACAAATCATACACTCACACAATCATACCCTCACAATCATACACTCACACAATCATACCCTCACAATCATACACTCACGCAAACCATCCACCACAATCATACACTCACACAATCATACCCTCACAATCATACACTCACACAATCATACCTCACAATCCTTTCACTCACACCAATCATACCCCAACAATCATACACTCCAATCGTACACTCACACAATCATACACTCACACAATCATACACTCACACAATCATACACAATCATACACTCGATCAATCATACACTCACACAATCATACACTTACAATCATACACTCACAATCATACACAATCATGCACTCACAATCATACACTCACAATCATACACAATCATACACTCACACAATCATACACTCACAATCATACACAATCATTACACTCACACAATCATACCCTCACAATCATACACTCGATCATACACTCACACAATCATACACTCATACATAGGGATAAGTGCTCTCTTAAATTTGTGTACCACTTTCCAGCACCCATATGTCACGTAACACCTGTGTAGTGTGCTAGGTGTCACATAACACCTGTGTAATGTGTCAGGTGTCACATAACACCTGTGTAATGTGTCAGGTGTCACATACCACCTGTGTAGTGTGCCAGACGTCACATAACACCTGTGTAGTGTTCCAGACGTCACAACACCTGTGTAGTGTGCCAGACGTCACATAACACCTGTGTAGTGTGCCAGGCGTCACATAACACCTGTGTAGTGTGCCAGACGTCACATAACACCTGTGTAGTGTGCCAGACGTCACATAACACCTGTGTAGTGTGCCAGACGTCACATAACACCTGTGTAGTGTGCCAGACGTCACATAACACCTGTGTAGTGTGCCAGACGTCACATAACACCTGTGTAGTGTGCAGGACGTCACATAACACCTGTGTATGTGCCAGACGTCACATAACACCTGTGTAGTGTGCCAGACGTCACATAACACCTGTGTAGTGTGCCAGGCGTCACATAACACCTGTGTACTGTGCCAGACGTCACATAGCACCTGTGTAGTGTGCCAGACGTTACATAACACCTGTGTAGTGTGCCAGGTGTCAAATAACACCTGTGTAGTGTGCCAGACGTCACATACACCTGTGTAGTGTGCAGCGAGGACTGTCAATAATAGCACCTGTGTAGTGTGCCAGACGTTACATAACACCTGTGTAGTGTGCCAGGTGTCAAATAACACCTGTGTAGTGTGCCAGACGTCACATAGCACCTGTGTAGTGTGCCAGGTGTCAAATAACACCTGTGTACTGTGCCAGACGTCACATAACACCTGTGTAGTGTGCCAGGTGTCAAATAACACCTGTGTACTGTGTCCAGATCGTCCATAGCACCTGTGTAGTGTGCCAGGGTCAATAACACCTGTGTACGTGTGCCAGAGTCACATAAACCCTGTGTAGTGTCCAGGTGTCAAATAACACTTGTGTAGTGTGTAGCAGTTCAACACCTGCGTAGTGTTCCAAGCGTCACATACACCTTGTGTCGGTGTGCCAGGTGTCACATTATCCCGTGTAGTGTTCACAGGTGTCCATAACCTGTGCAGTGTGCTAGGATCCATTACACCAATGGGTAGTGTCAAATGTCACATTACACTCTGTAGGTGGCCAGGAGTCACATTACACTGTTAGTGTGCAGGAGTCGCATTATACTGTGTAGTGCCAGGATCATAACACCATGGGGTGTGACAGGGGTCACATTACACATTGAAGTGTGCCAGAGGTCACATGTACACATGTGAGTGTGCCAGGAGTCACATTACACTGTGTAGTGTTCAAGGGTCAAACACCTGTAGGTGTATCAGGGTCACAGACACCTTGAAGTGTTCAGGGTCACAGTACTCCTGTGGATGTGTCATGGGTCACAGGACACCTGTAGAGTGTGTCATGGGTCACAGGACACCTGTAGAGTGTGTCATGGGTCACAGGACACCTGTAGAGTGTGTCATGGGTCACAGTACACCTGTGGAGTGTGTCATGGGTCACATTACACCTGTAGAGTGTCATGGGTCACAGTACACCTGTAGAGTGTCATGGGTCACAGTACACCTGTAGTGTCATGGGTCACAGTACACCTGCAGTGTCATGGGTCACAGTACACCTGCGTGTCATGGGTCACAGTACACCTGTGGACTGTGCCAGGGGTCACGGTACACCTGTGCACTGTGCCAGGGGGTTACAGTACACCTGTGGACTGTGCCAGGGTGGTCACAGTACACTTGTGGACTGTGCCAGAGGGTCACAGTGCACCTGTGGACTGTGCCAGGGGGTCACAGCACACCTGTGGACTGTGCCAGGGTTCACAGTACACCTGTGGACAGTGCCAGGTGTCACAATACACCTGTGAACTGTATCAGGAGTCACAGTACACCTGTGAACTGTGCAGGCGTCACAGCACACTTGTGGACTGCCAAGGGTCACAGTACACCTGTCCTACCACAATGCTTGCAATCCCCCACAACACCTGTCCTACCACACAGCACCTGTCATACCACGCAACACCTGTCATATCACACAATGCTTGCAATCCCCCACAACACCTGTTCTCCCATGCAACACCTGTCCTGACACACTTGTCATACAGAGGTTGAAGACAGATGCCAACCAACAACAGGTGCGTGGGACCAGGACATCAGCAGGTGCTCACCTGGGTGGCGTCAGAGTAAGGTGTAGGTGAGCTCTCATCCACTGCTAAGGAACCGAAGCTAGCACCTGCTGAGAGCGGGTGTTCCACCAACACCTCGTGGAGCCCCTGCGGCAGCATGCTGCGGAGGTTCCTTTCTAATGCTGCTCGGGTTCCTTTCTAATGCTGCTCGGGTTCCCTTCTAACTCTGGGAACTGCTTCACTGTTTTCTCCAAGAGATTTGACGTCCGTCAAGGCGGGTTCGTGAACCCCCGCCCGTCCGTCCAGATTCGTGAGCCCCTCCCGTCCGTCAAGGCGGGTTCGTGAACCCCCTTTCCAGACCTTCCTACCCACCGAAATGCCCTCCAAAACTTTTTTTTTTTCAATATAACTAAAAAAAAACCAGAATCGATTCCGTATTCCGGCCTAAAAACCCATCCAGGTTTTGGGAATGATTCCCGTGTGCGTCTCCACTACGTCAGCCACAACCCACACGGGTTTTTACCCGGCACTATCACATTAAAATGGTTTTCAAATCTTCCCATAATCCGTGGAGAGATTTTGTATTTTATATGTTAGTGGCTAAAATAACGACACTGTTTCTCGGCGTGACACTGCTATTGGGGTCTCAGGTGTCCTGGACACGGTAGACACTGTGATTGGCACTGTAAGCTGGGTGGACACGGTGTCCAGCTTAGAGCATCCTAGGCTGGCACTGTCCACAGTGATTGGAGTGAGATATGTTTATATGGCACTTTGGGAGGTGCTATAATAGCATTGTCCACTGCAACTGTCCATTGGCTGGGCACGGGTGGCACTGGAACTGTCCACTGGCTAGACACAGGTGACACTAGAACTGTCCACTAGCTAGACACGGGTGACACTGGAACTGCCCACTGGCTGGACACGGGTGACACTGGAACTGTCCACTGGCTAGACACAGGTGACACTAGAATTGTCCACTAGCTAGACACGGGTGACACTGGAACTGCCCACTGGCTGGACACCGGAACTGTTAAATAGGCAGATACGGGTGACACTGGAACTGTCCACTGGCTAGACACAGGTGACACTGGAACTGTCCACTGGTTGGACACGGGTGACACTGCAGCCATCCACTAGCTAGACACGGACAAGACTGGAACCATCCACTGGGTTGGAACGTGTGTCTAGCTTTGGACACACACTAAACCTGGCACTCTCCCACAGTGTCCAGGTGTCGTTGTCCACAGAACTGCTGTGGTGTCCACAGGAGGGTGAGGCAGGACACGTCAGTGTGGCACTGGAGGCGGGGCCGTCCTGCTCCTCCCCGCGTGAAGGTGGGTGTTACACTGGGCATGAGGAATCACAACACATGGCTTTTGAGCAGCGGCTTCGGCGCGACCTTTACGG